TTGGTCAGTTTTGTTTGTTTTGTACTGTAGTATATGTTAGTAATTGGTCAGTTTTGTTTGTTTTGTACTGTAGTATATGTTAGTAATTGGTCAGTTTTGTTTGTTTTGTACTGTAGTATATGTTAGTAATTGGTCAGTTTTGTTTGTTTTGTACTGTAGTATATGTTAGTAATTGGTCAGTTTTGTTTGTTTTGTACTGTAGTATATGTTAGTAATTGGTCAGTTTTGTTTGTTTTGTACTGTAGTATATGTTAGTAATTGGTCAGTTTTGTTTGTTTTGTACTGTAGTATATGTTAGTAATTGGTCAGTTTTGTTTGTTTTGTACTGTAGTATATGTTAGTAATTGGTCAGTTTTGTTTGTTTTGTACTGTAGTATATGTTAGTAATTGGTCAGTTTTGTTTGTTTTGTACTGTAGTATATGTTAGTAATTGGTCAGTTTTGTTTGTTTTGTACTGTAGTATATGTTAGTAATTGGTCAGTTTTGTTTGTTTTGTACTGTAGTATATGTTAGTAATTGGTCAGTTTTGTTTGTTTTGTACTGTAGTTTTGTTTGTTTTGTATATATATGTTAGTAATTGGTCAGTTTTGTTTGTTTTGTACTGTAGTATATGTTAGTAATTGGTCAGTTTTGTTTGTTTTGTACTGTAGTATATGTTAGTAATTGGTCAGTTTTGTTTGTTTTGTACTGTAGTATATGTTAGTAATTGGTCAGTTTTGTTTGTTTTGTACTGTAGTATATGTTAGTAATTGGTCAGTTTTGTTTGTTTTGTACTGTAGTATATGTTAGTAATTGGTCAGTTTTGTTTGTTTTGTACTGTAGTATATGTTAGTAATTGGTCAGTTTTGTTTGTTTTGTACTGTAGTATATGTTAGTAATTGGTCAGTTTTGTTTGTTTTGTACTGTAGTATATGTTAGTAATTGGTCAGTTTTGTTTGTTTTGTACTGTAGTATATGTTAGTAATTGGTCAGTTTTGTTTGTTTTGTACTGTAGTATATGTTAGTAATTGGTCAGTTTTGTTTGTTTTGTACTGTAGTATATGTTAGTAATTGGTCAGTTTTGTTTGTTTTGTACTGTAGTATATGTTAGTAATTGGTCAGTTTTGTTTGTTTTGTACTGTAGTATATGTTAGTAATTGGTCAGTTTTGTTTGTTTTGTACTGTAGTATATGTTAGTAATTGGTCAGTTTTGTTTGTTTTGTACTGTAGTATATGTTAGTAATTGGTCAGTTTTGTTTGTTTTGTACTGTAGTATATGTTAGTAATTGGTCAGTTTTGTTTGTTTTGTACTGTAGTATATGTTAGTAATTGGTCAGTTTTGTTTGTTTTGTACTGTAGTATATGTTAGTAATTGGTCAGTTTTGTTTGTTTTGTACTGTAGTATATGTTAGTAATTGGTCAGTTTTGTTTGTTTTGTACTGTAGTATATGTTAGTAATTGGTCAGTTTTGTTTGTTTTGTACTGTAGTATATGTTAGTAATTGGTCAGTTTTGTTTGTTTTGTACTGTAGTATATGTTAGTAATTGGTCAGTTTTGTTTGTTTTGTACTGTAGTATATGTTAGTAATTGGTCAGTTTTGTTTGTTTTGTACTGTAGTATATGTTAGTAATTGGTCAGTTTTGTTTGTTTTGTACTGTAGTATATGTTAGTAATTGGTCAGTTTTGTTTGTTTTGTACTGTAGTTAGTATATGTTAGTAATTGGTCAGTTTTGTTTGTTTTGTACTGTAGTATATGTTAGTAATTGGTCAGTTTTGTTTGTTTTGTACTGTAGTATATGTTAGTAATTGGTCAGTTTTGTTTGTTTTGTACTGTAGTATATGTTAGTAATTGGTCAGTTTTGTTTGTTTTGTACTGTAGTATATGTTAGTAATTGGTCAGTTTTGTTTGTTTTGTACTGTAGTATATGTTAGTAATTGGTCAGTTTTGTTTGTTTTGTACTGTAGTATATGTTAGTAATTGGTCAGTTTTGTTTGTTTTGTACTGTAGTATATGTTAGTAATTGGTCAGTTTTGTTTGTTTTGTACTGTAGTATATGTTAGTAATTGGTCAGTTTTGTTTGTTTTGTACTGTAGTATATGTTAGTAATTGGTAATTTTGTTTGTTTTGTACTGTAGTATATGTTGTTTTGTTTGTTTTGTACTGTAGTATATGTTAGTAATTGGTCAGTTTTGTTTGTTTTGTACTGTAGTATATGTTAGTAATTGGTCAGTTTTGTTTGTTTTGTACTGTAGTATATGTTAGTAATTGGTCAGTTTTGTTTGTTTTGTACTGTAGTATATGTTAGTAATTGGTCAGTTTTGTTTGTTTTGTACTGTAGTATATGTTAGTAATTGGTCAGTTTTGTTTGTTTTGTACTGTAGTATATGTTAGTAATTGGTCAGTTTTGTTTGTTTTGTACTGTAGTATATGTTAGTAATTGGTCAGTTTTGTTTGTTTTGTACTGTAGTTAGTATATGTTAGTAATTGGTCAGTTTTGTTTGTTTTGTACTGTAGTATATGTTAGTAATTGGTCAGTTTTGTTTGTTTTGTACTGTAGTATATGTTAGTAATTGGTCAGTTTTGTTTGTTTTGTACTGTAGTATATGTTAGTAATTGGTCAGTTTTGTTTGTTTTGTACTGTAGTATATGTTAGTAATTGGTCAGTTTTGTTTGTTTTGTACTGTAGTATATGTTAGTAATTGGTCAGTTTTGTTTGTTTTGTACTGTAGTATATGTTAGTAATTGGTCAGTTTTGTTTGTTTTGTACTGTAGTATATGTTAGTAATTGGTCAGTTTTGTTTGTTTTGTACTGTAGTATATGTTAGTAATTGGTCAGTTTTGTTTGTTTTGTACTGTAGTATATGTTAGTAATTGGTCAGTTTTGTTTGTTTTGTACTGTAGTATATGTTAGTAATTGGTCAGTTTTGTTTGTTTTGTACTGTAGTATATGTTAGTAATTGGTCAGTTTTGTTTGTTTTGTACTGTAGTATATGTTAGTAATTGGTCAGTTTTGTTTGTTTTGTACTGTAGTATATGTTAGTAATTGGTCAGTTTTGTTTGTTTTGTACTGTAGTATATGTTAGTAATTGGTCAGTTTTGTTTGTTTTGTACTGTAGTATATGTTAGTAATTGGTCAGTTTTGTTTGTTCTGTACTGTAGTATATGTTAGTAATTGGTCAGTTTTGTTTGTTTTGTACTGTAGTATATGTTAGTAATTGGTCAGTTTTGTTTGTTTTGTACTGTAGTATATGTTAGTAATTGGTCAGTTTTGTTTGTTTTGTACTGTAGTATATGTTAGTAATTGGTCAGTTTTGTTTGTTTTGTACTGTAGTATATGTTAGTAATTGGTCAGTTTTGTTTGTTTTGTACTGTAGTATATGTTAGTAATTGGTCAGTTTTGTTTGTTTTGTACTGTAGTATATGTTAGTAATTGGTCAGTTTTGTTTGTTTTGTACTGTAGTATATGTTAGTAATTGGTCAGTTTTGTTTGTTTTGTACTGTAGTATATGTTAGTAATTGGTCAGTTTTGTTTGTTTTGTACTGTAGTATATGTTAGTAATTGGTCAGTTTTGTTTGTTTTGTACTGTAGTATATGTTAGTAATTGGTCAGTTTTGTTTGTTTTGTACTGTAGTATATGTTAGTAATTGGTCAGTTTTGTTTGTTTTGTACTGTAGTATATGTTAGTAATTGGTCAGTTTTGTTTGTTTTGTACTGTAGTATATGTTAGTAATTGGTCAGTTTTGTTTGTTTTGTACTGTAGTATATGTTAGTAATTGGTCAGTTTTGTTTGTTTTGTACTGTAGTATATGTTAGTAATTGGTCAGTTTTGTTTGTTTTGTACTGTAGTATATGTTAGTAATTGGTCAGTTTTGTTTGTTTTGTACTGTAGTATATGTTAGTAATTGGTCAGTTTTGTTTGTTTTGTACTGTAGTATATGTTAGTAATTGGTCAGTTTTGTTTGTTTTGTACTGTAGTATATGTTAGTAATTGGTCAGTTTTGTTTGTTTTGTACTGTAGTATATGTTAGTAATTGGTCAGTTTTGTTTGTTTTGTACTGTAGTATATGTTAGTAATTGGTCAGTTTTGTTTGTTTTGTACTGTAGTATATGTTAGTAATTGGTCAGTTTTGTTTGTTTTGTACTGTAGTATATGTTAGTAATTGGTCAGTTTTGTTTGTTTTGTACTGTAGTATATGTTAGTAATTGGTCAGTTTTGTTTGTTTTGTACTGTAGTATATGTTAGTAATTGGTCAGTTTTGTTTGTTTTGTACTGTAGTATATGTTAGTAATTGGTCAGTTTTGTTTGTTTTGTACTGTAGTATATGTTAGTAATTGGTCAGTTTTGTTTGTTTTGTACTGTAGTATATGTTAGTAATTGGTCAGTTTTGTTTGTTTTGTACTGTAGTTAGTATATGTTAGTAATTGGTCAGTTTTGTTTGTTTTGTACTGTAGTATATGTTAGTAATTGGTCAGTTTTGTTTGTTTTGTACTGTAGTATATGTTAGTAATTGGTCAGATTTGTTTTTTTCAAACAAAAGTTTGAGATTTGGTTTATGATTGTTTGGTTCATATTTAGTTCGGCTGGAAAATGTTCAAGTAAAAATTCAAAGTACTGATATGTTTTGTTGATGACTATATTTCGTTTGCCGAGTAAGTTCCAGTCAAAAGTTTGAGATTTTCGGTGTTCTGGACAGTTTTAGTTCATAAGGTTGGAAGGATATGCTTAAGTTTAAGTGTTACAGATCCTGTTTATCACTTTTTGGATCATATATGTTTAGCTGAAAAATTTTCAATGAATAATGAGATTGGCATGTGTTATTAAAAAATGTATTTAGTTGTATCTTCAGTTACACATTTGAAAGTGTCTTGGGGACTAAAATCTTCAATATTTGTCTTGGTGAATTTTTGAAGATATTCATCGGGTATCCGGTAGTTGTAGCTTTAAAATGTATATATATATATTATCAGTGAACCAGTTAATGTGTGTGTAAAACAGATTTATTATGTTATCTGTTTTAGCTTGAGGAAGCAGAATGGATTGGCCTTCCAGCTTCCATAGCTGTTCAAAAAGCTAAAGCTGAAATTAAAGCTGAGAAAGATGCCCAGGATATACCTCTCAGAGACGTCTACAAAACACAGTTCATAAAAAGATTACAGAGTCAAGGTTTGTTATTCAGAAGATCTTTGGAGTTCACAGGGATTACAAAGAATCACTAATTGTTTTTGTAACTCTTTTTAGGTCAAAAGTGATCAATATTCTTCATATCTGTAGTTCCCAAAAGTGGAATTATAAGTTTAAATGAAAACAATATTAGTGAAACATCCTGTGCAGACACCAAGGTCCACCAATACAGTTGTGATGGTACAGTGGTGAGTGCTTTACATCGTGCAACAACCGAGGTTTGACGCTAATGTCTTTCTTTGGTTTACTGCAGTAAGAAAGTACCACACCCTTTCCAGGCCAAAGAGAAAATCATTTATTAATATCAATCAATAATTACAATGTTACTTTAATCAAGAAATTTGAAGTTAAAATGGATTAGGTTGGAAACTGAGAGATGGGACCCAAATTAAAAAGTTTAAAGAAGAATGAAGGGCAGTAACTCTTCATAAAATAGTTGAATCAAAATGCCACAGGGAAAAAATGGTGCTAGATATTTTTCATGAAAAAACTTATAGAGATCAGTGAAAACCTGAGAAAATTTCTGCTGACTAAATTTCACACCGTTACTCGTTAAATTTTGTGAAATTATACTTTTTTTTTTACAAACAAAATCAAATTACAAGATTTAAAGGCAGAAAGAAAGCAATAAGTTTTCCTACATATGAACAAATAAAGATCAGTCTGTCATAAAAAAAAGATAAATCTGTCACAAGCCTTTCAACTATCATGAAAATTCTCTCAACTAGCATGCAAATGTTTTTGCAACAAGATTTACAATTGTTGTAGATTTGATGATGTTGTTTTTGTATTTAAAATTTGTTATTCTGTGTCGACAGAATTTGTACAAGATCCAGTAGATGCAGAATATGATGGAAAGTAAGTAGACAATTAGAGCCATTAAATTGTGGACACTCTTCTTGTACATAAATAGACAATAAGGTAGAGCCATTAAATTGTGGACACTCTTCTTGTACATAAATAGACAATAAGGTAGAGCCATTAAATTGTGGACACTCTTCTTGTACATCAGTAGACACTAAGATAGATTCATTGAATTGTGGACACTCTTCTTGTACATCAGTAGACAGTAAGATAGAGACATTAAATTGTGGACACTCTTCTTGTACGTAAGTAGACAATAATGTAGAGCCATTAAATTGTGGACACTCTTCTTGTACATCAGAACTAAGATAGAGCCATTAAATTGTGGACACTCTTCTTGTACATCAGTAGACACTAAGATAGAGTAGACATTAAAATTGTGGACACTCTTCTTGTACATCAGTAGACCAAATTGTGGATCTTCTTGTACATCAGTAGACACTTCATTGAATTGTGGACACTCTTCTTGTACATCAGTAGACACTAAGATAGATTCATTGAATTGTGGACACTCTTCTTGTACATCAGTAGACAGTAAGATAGAGATTAAATTGATTTCTTGTACGTAAGTGAATTAAATTGTGGACACTCTTCTTGTACATCAGTAGACACTAAGATAGATTCATTGAATTGTGGACACTCTTCTTGTACATCAGTAGACAGTAAGATAGAGACATTAAATTGTGGACACTCTTCTTGTACGTAAGTAGACAATAATGTAGAGCCATTAAATTGTGGACACTCTTCTTGTACATCAGTAGACACTAAGATAGATTCATTGAATTGTGGACACTCTTCTTGTACATCAGTAGACAGTAAGATAGAGACATTAAATTGTGGACACTCTTCTTGTACATCAGTAGACAGTAAGATAGAGACATTAAATTGTGGACACTCTTCTTGTACATCAGTAGACACTAAGATAGATTCATTGAATTGTGGACACTCTTCTTGTACATCAGTAGACAGTAAGATAGAGACATTAAATTGTGGACACTCTTCTTGTACAAGTAGACAATAATGTAGAGCCATTAAATTGTGGACACTCTTCTTGTACATCAGTAGACACTAAGATAGATTCATTGAATTGTGGACACTCTTCTTGTACATCAGTAGACAGTAAGATAGAGACATTAAATTGTGGACACTCTTCTTGTACATCAGTAGACACTAAGATAGATTCATTGAATTGTGGACACTCTTCTTGTACATCAGTAGACAGTAAGATAGAGACATTAAATTGTGGACACAGTTAGTGTACATCAGTAGACACTAAGATAGAGACATTAAATTGTGGACACTCTTCTTGTACATCAGTAGACACTAAGATAGATTCATTGAATTGTGGACACTCTTCTTGTACATCAGTAGACAGTAAGATAGAGACATTAAATTGTGGACACTCTTCTTGTACATCAGTAGAGTAGTAGACAATAATGAATTGTGGAGTAGCCATTAAGATTAAATTGTGGACACTCTTCTTGTACATCAGTAGACACTAAGATAGATTCATTGAATTGTGGACACTCTTCTTGTACATCAGTAGACAGTAAGATAGAGACATTAAATTGTGGACACTCTTCTTGTACATCAGTAGACAGTTCATTAAATTGTACATAAATAGACAATAAGAGCCATTAGAGCCATTAAATTGTGGACACTCTTCTTGTACATAAATAGACAATAAGGTAGAGCCATTAAATTGTGGACACTCTTCTTGTACATCAGTAGACACTAAGATAGATTCATTGAATTGTGGACACTCTTCTTGTACATCAGTAGACAGTAAGATAGAGACATTAAATTGTGGACACTCTTCTTGTACGTAAGTAGACAATAATATAGAGCCATTAAATTGTGGACATTCTTCTTGTACATAAATAGACAATAAGGTAGAGCCATTAAATTGTGGACACTCTTCTTGTACATAAATAGACAATAAGGTAGAGCCATTAAATTGTGGACACTCTTCTTGTACATCAGTAGACACTAAGATAGATTCATTGAATTGTGGACACTCTTCTTGTACATCAGTAGACAGTAAGATAGAGACATTAAATTGTGGACACTCTTCTTGTACGTAAGTAGACAATAATATAGAGCCATTAAATTGTGGACATTCTTCTTGTACATAAATAGACAATAAGGTAGAGCCATTAAATTGTGGACACTCTTCTTGTACATAAATAGACAATAAGGTAGAGCCATTAAATTGTGGACACTCTTCTTGTACATCAGTAGACACTAAGATAGATTCATTGAATTGTGGACACTCTTCTTGTACATCAGTAGACAGTAAGATAGAGACATTAAATTGTGGACACTCTTCTTGTACGTAAGTAGACAATAATGTAGAGCCATTAAATTGTGGACATTCTTCTTGTACGTAAGTAGACAATAAGGTAGAGCCATTAAATTGTGGACACTCTTCTTGTACGTTCACATCAACCCCCTCCCACTCAAGGGTCCTCTGGATTATCAATCAAATCATTACCTTTGACCTTGTGTTTCCTTCCTATACCTTGTAGGCAGATTTGTGAAATACACATCACAGCTCAAGTATAGCATTACAATTATTTATTTAAAGATTTTAAAAACAATGTTTTTAATTATTTTTATTCCTATCACTTTCCACTCTGTCCCATATTTTGAATTTTGAAGTGAACATGTATGAGGAATCTGATATCTTTTTTACCTGCAGTTTTATTTTCTTCTAAACAGAAGCTTTAAATCTTGTGATGTTTGTAACTGGTGCTGATTTTTGTTTCTAAGTATTAAATACAATATGTATGTACTGAGGTATTACTAGTGGATATAAGCATGTGCCTCATATACTTTGTGTTGCTGATACACTCAAGGTCAAGATGGTCATTTCTTCTATTGATTTATGGTGAAGAAGAAAAAAGTACTGATTTTTTTTATTTTAAGGCAGGACTAGAATAGAATGACCTAGTTACATGTAGTTATGATATGCTGATTTGTTTCAGGTAACCAGCCAGGTGTATTCAGGTGTGAGTGATCAGGTGAGGTGCCGCCAGGTGCTACTTGAGGAACTTACCAGCTCAAATGGAAACACCCTTCAAAGTCCAGAGAGGAATACCAATAGAAATGTCTGTCTTTGTGCTTTTCACAGCGTGACATTGACTTAATCTCTTAAAGGCATTACATTAGAATGTTGACGGAGGAACCAAAATGTATGGAAGAAAAAAACGCTTTTGCCAAGATTTATTGGAAAGTGTAAAATGGATAAAAAAAATAGTGACAAATGGAACAACAGATTTTTTGTATGTTAGTGAAAAGTTATAAAGTTTGTCTGAATGTTGTCATGAGAAAGTTACACAATATTTCAATGTTCAACACGCAGTGTCATCCGGCCATGTCATGTACAACAAAATAAAAATTTTTTTTGTAGAAATGTGGGTGTTGGAAGTTTTTATTTCCGATTTCTTTACAACGGCTAAATTTTCTATAGTATGAGAAAATTTGTGATTCAGTTTCTTTTAAAACTTCATAAATTAATGATTTCATGAAGGTACATAATCTGGGTGAAATGATTTATTTTTCATTGTTATGTAACACTATTTCATCCCAACATGGTTATCTGCCATCAACTTGTATTTGTTTTCGTTGGAGACATAAGGTGGAGCAAATACAACTCTATACATATTCATAACTTTATCCCAAAATCTCATTCTACCAAATAATTCAATATTTCATTCTGAAAATTTCCATGATGGTGTAATCAACTTTTGCACAACACTGATATCAAAGATGGGATATACAGGCACATGCTTAAAATTTTAAAAATCTAAGACTTTTGTTCAGTTGATACATAATATGTTTATATATGATGAATGAAAATCAAGTAATTAATTTCACAATTGACATTTTCAAAATTGTTAAACTGACCCTTGTTATTCTGAAATGTACAAATGTCACTTAAAGTACAGATTTTCCAAAAAAAAAAAAAAAACTGAAAACATGCAAACAGCAAGATATTCTATAGTCAGATGACTTGTACAGTTAAATGGAAATTGACACAATTACAAGGAAATGGGTTATGCAAGATTATACTAAAAGGTTTACTTTCTTTTTACAATTGTATTGTAACACACTGTTGTAAATGTATTTGTTTGTCACTTTCTTTCACTAGCAGATGTTTTCTGTCCTATTATTTACAATGGTGGTCACCTGTGTCCACTGGAGCTTCAACTTTGACCTCAGGTGACAGAAACACCCATAAATAATTAATCTGGAATCAGATTTCTCTCTCAATATATATATGCTATCCCTGTAGGGCATTTTAACATCAAAACAAAATTTTCACCTCAAATGCTCAATACTGCACACCAATGGTGCTAAAAAGCATGTCTTAGGACAGACCAATTTCACACCAGTCACCTTCTGTTTTCTTTGATCTGTTCCAGTAATAATTTATCGATTACCTCTCACAATAGGTGATAAATTGTCATCATCAGGAGATGAATGAAACATGTAAAGAATTAATCACAATAATTCAATATTTACAAATGCCCATATGATTGAATTTTGAATGCTTTATTTCCACTTCACACCTCTGTAAAGTATCAGGTATTGACAGAGATTTGAAATATTGCCACTTCTGGTGAACATCAAAGGTCAGAGGTTAAGTCTTCATTAATGATGAATTATGAGTTCTATAGAAATACTGTTATAATGATGAAGACTTTTTGAAATAGAACATTAGAATCATTGATTACATAATTCGAAAAGTCCTGAAGAAATAATGATTGATTTTGTTTCTTGGTCTTTGTCGTATGGCTACTTCTATACAACTATTTGTCTTCCTTGTCGGTCAGATAAATTGACAAATAAATCAATTATCCATTTTTCCTTTTCCTTCTTCAATGGCTGAATCTCATTAAATGTTTTTATTTTCTGAGATTCAGTCAGAGGAAAAGAAGAGATGAAAGAAAGATGGACACGAATAAAGGTTATTTATACAAAACTCTAGGAACATCATTCGTTTTTTGTTTGTCACCCTATATTTATCTACGGTAGATAAATCAGATTGGATATTTACATCCTGCATATATTAAACTTTTCACCTTGATTATTTGTAGTGATAAATCTAATGATCAAAGAAGACATTTCCACATCACATTTAAAACCACAAAATGTTTCCAGAAAATCACATATACATATATATATATATGTAGCTCAATATTTTGTAATGAAATTTCCACTGCCTTTCACAACCAAGATTTTACTATGTATTAATATATTGTGGCAAAGCCTCGCTCCATATGACTGTATGGAATTATACACAAATGTACAAAGACTACTATGAAAAATTCATGGAAAAACTCTTTTTTTTTAAAAAAAAAAAAGAAAATTGTTTTTCATGATGATAAACAACAACTGATAGATTCTATGAAAAATCTTTTCTTTTTTTTTTGTGAATTTAGAACAAAGAAAAATGAAAATGTTTTATCCATCTTGTATTATTAAGGTAATGAAGCTGCCTCCATACTATTCAGTGTATTCTAGATATTTTTGTAACTGCCCACTTAAAACCTAATTTCTCATAACACTACATCTAACACAACTCAAATTGACCAGAGTCCATCACTTCCTGTTGTCCAGTACTCTTAATATGAAACTGATCATTCAGCTCTTGCTTTTGACTCTGACACACTGTTTTGTGAGTGTGGCTTCAATTTAATTCTCAAGTAGGTATAGAAACTTGAGAAAATAATCACAAGTTTTCAATCTTCATCAAATAACAGAAAATAAGTAACTTAGAACAACATCGCCAGTTTTTCAGATTTATCAAACAACAGAAGCATTCTGACGCCTGTTTGTTATTACAGTGACAAATTAAAGACAAATCTAAAGAGATAAGTGTAGATTGGAACCAGGCTTTAAATTGGAGGCAGGCTCCAGGGTGGGTCCAGTGGCTGGAGAGGAGAGACTTTTGGACAAGTTAATTGGTCCAGTGGCTGGGGAGTAGTGAATTTTGGAGAAGTTAAGCAGTCCAGTGGCTGAAAAGTAGAGACTTCTGGACAAGTCAATCAGTCCAGTTACTAGAATCTGACCTATCTTGGACCAAAGACTACAGATCATTGTCAGAGTGTGTAGACAATGTTTAAATGAAATGTGTCAAGTCTTCACAAGTCAATATATATTTGTTGATCGTACAGTTTCAATGTATTTTTGCAATTTTATCTTATTTCATTTGAAAACATTATTTCCAATAGTTGAAAAAGTTTGCCTTTTAAAACCCACCCACTTGCTCCCTGTGTCCTGGAGATAATTATCCATATTTATTGCCTTAAAAGTATGGGCTTAGATAAAAGATCTAATGAAAACTACCACAACAATGACATCACAGTCAAGAGTCATTCAAATACTAGTCATATATATAAAAAAAAAATTTTTTGCGCGTAAAGTTGTCTTTGAAAATTTCAGGTAACATGTAATATCTATATCCACCAATAGTTGAGCCTCTCTGCCACCTGGACTGAAATCTTAATTCAAAATAAATTCAATCAAAATTTCTTGACATTAGTCGTATGAAACAAGATTCAGTTCAGTGAAACTATTTAATGGTCCTACAAAGCATGTCTTTGACACATAATCCCCCCTCCCCCACCTTCAACCCGCCCACCTCCAACCCCTTCCCCCAAATTCTGATAATTTAATGTAGTTGTGTATTTACAATTACAGCACCTATATTTCAAAATGCAATTCACATGACAAAATGATGTTGATGTTTATGGAATATAACTTTCCGGAAAGTCACTAAAAATTGTTGTTTTCGTTGTTTGGGACAGAAGTGGTGGTTGCGTCAGAAAAGAGGTCGCTGAATTCCGGTCATTTTTTGTATAGTAAATTACAATGGAAGGAAAAACTAAGGTCACATATAACAGAAAGTTTCTTAATTCAGGTCATTATGGCAAGTTTTACTGTATACACACATATATTTTTAATATAATGAATTATTCTGTAGAATTATCTTTCATTGAGACTGTTTATATTGTGTATACTTTTCTTCACGAACAGAAAGGTGTAGAACTGCACTGAAGCCTATCGGTAAACATGTTTACTGTGGGAACTGCATGGATTCTGCGAGTCTGGTCCAGTGGCTGAAGACTGGACATTGTGATCTGAGAGGCCAAAGGACTTATAAACTGACCATCAGACGGGAGACCCTGTGATACTGACCAGAGATAGACCTATCACCATTGGACATGTGTCACTAGTGGTCAGTACAATGTCTATGATCACTGACTAATGACTCCAACACCATTGGTCATTAATCGGTAGATATCTACCCCAATAAATAAGAAATTAAGTGACATAGGGTGTCTGGTTATTATAACAGTCAGTTTTAAAATACTGGACCAGATAGTGACTATACACAAGACCTGTAGCATAGTTTGGGCTTTAGATCAGACAGGATAAAGAAATTCTCACAGGACAGAATTCCTTTACATCTAGTAAATTAGTAACAAGCACATGGAGTTCTGTGAAAGTAGGGCCTTGGAAATAAACTTTTTGGGAAATGTACATTTAGGAAAAATGTCATTTTCTCAAAGAGAAAAAAGTTGGTTTTAATGGGCAATCCTTTTGAACCATGAATCTGTTTCATTTGATGTAATTCAATCTGAAAAGATGAAAACGTATTTTTTCTAGGATAAAAAGTAATCACTGCATGTGGTAAAATGAGATCATGTTATTAAAATTCAATTCATGTATGCATTTCTGATCCCCTTCACCCAATAAAAACTACTCGTCGAAATTTAATTGACTTAAGTTTGGGCATTACACAGAAAGGTATGATCATTTAAATATGTAACAAATGTAAGGAGTACAAGAGTTAAGATATGTGAAAACACAACTAAGGTTGTGGCACTGAAATGTTAACATCTGAAGAAGTTTTAGGAAAAACAATTTAAAAATTTGGTCTTGTCCTTTGTAAAGCTAACAAATCATCTGAGCTGGAGACAAATCATAAAAACCGTTAACGAGTTGAGGCCAATTTATTCTATAACTTTTCTTCTAAGTGGCAACTACATTATAATTCATCGTTGATAGAAATATTCAAAATGGCGACAAAAGATTGCATAAATTACATGCTGAAAACCTTCGGGTGTGATATAAGAAAGTTTAAAATTTTAGGTAATAACAAGGTTTTCAAAAAGTTGAAAAAATGTTGAAACCCATATCAGCATCTAGTTTCAACTGTTATAAATTTTATTCCACAGCAACAGGTTTTCGTTCTGGGAAATAATTTGAAATTCACAGAACTAGTAATGTGATATACTGTATAATTCTATGTCCATCCAAATATAAACCATGATGCAAAATTATTTTTTTAGAAACATGTCCAAATAAAAGACACAAGGTTTACAAGAAAATATTGACTATAAG